TTTTTTCTTCAATTATTTGCAAGATTGAGTAACATGAGATTACTAATAAGTGTCTTTGTCTGCTGCTAATTCAGTGACATGCATGCTTGGGGTGATGTATTCCCCAATTATTTCGTACAGATTTAATCCCAGTGTTACATTTTGTACCTTTGGAAATACTTGATGGAATCAGCGCCCTGAGATGACAAAGAATTCTTGCTTTACTTGCAGTTATGCCATATAACAGCGCCCATCACTGTGTCGTGGAAGTGGAAAACTTCTTGTTTGTGCTGGGAGGAGAAGACCAATGGAACCCGAATGGTATGTGTGCAATATTAAAAGGCACAGGCATCATATGCCTTCCTGTGTCTGTCTGTCGGGTCAGCTGATGTAGTCATTAGGAAGGGATTTGGAGGACCTTCAGCCTAATTGTTGCACCCAGTAAAGGCTACTTTTAGATATTGATGTAATAAATATCTGGTACTTTAGCATTAGCATTTCCATCATTCATCAGCTCCCACATCCCTTGAGAAATGCCACAGGCAGCAGAACAGACTCTTTCAAGTGCATGCACCAGGCAGCAGCTGTTAAGAATTTTAACCTTCATTTCCAGTCTCCTTCCAGTCATAATATAATAATGCAATTGCAGTAGATGAATGCTTCTTTTCTATTGTCAGACCAGATACTCGCAGCTAAAGTTGTTAATGTGTTAATTATCTAGACTCTGAGATTCTTAAACTGGTCCTTTTTTAGTCTTGTGCAAGAGCTTCTCATACCGATTATCTGCTGCTACCTTCTTTGATTTGATTACTTCATAAATTTACCGCAAAGAGAAATTAAACAATTTAACAGGCTTCTGAGCAAAGCAAAAGGAGAATACCATGCCTTGCAAAATTCACAAAATTGTCAAGACATTGTTAAAAAGCTTGCACACGAAGAAAGAGTTGTAGTTGTAGCAGTCTGTGTAACAGAGATAATTATGACTGAGAAACCATAAAACAGCTTGCAGGTACACATTTTTACTTTAAAACACCAGAGGATCCAGCTGAAATTACATATACTGCATATATTTTATTGTGAATGCCCCATTTCAGCATCTGCACTAAACCAAATTATAGAAAATTGTTACATCTGTTCACTTCCTAAAACCCGAGACAAACAATCCAGTCCACCCTACAAGCATATTTCCGGTGTAGTTAAAAATAGCACTAAATGTCGTAGGAGAAGAGCCCTTCAGTTCTGTTGTTGGATCTCCTTTATATTAAACAGGAGATAGCCTGGTATCATTTATGACAATTATTATCAGGAGCATCAGCCACAGCCAGCAACCGAGGGCCCCTGTTGTGCATCGTTGTAGGCATATGGATAAATAAGAGGCAGACCTTGTTCCAGACAGTTTATAATTAAGTGGCCATGTCACACAGAGGATAAAATAAAAGAGGTATAATTACCCATCATTTAAAGATGCAGAAACTGAGCCGCGAGGTGATGGAGAGATGTTAGGAGGGGTGCATGTCCTGCATCTGAGGTGGGAGTCGAGCACAACTGTTTGTGAGATGGTTGGTACCTTAGGCCTAAGGTCGCCTACATCACTCACTCCTGAGCTGAAGATGTCTAATAGCTTCCTTGTTCTGTGAATACCAGTGCTGTGACTTTTCTGGAGAAGAGGTAGGAATAAAACAGGTAGGAGCATTGCTGATACTGATCTCTTCATGAATTTGCCCCAAGAGAAATGGATCTTACTTGTCACAAAAAGAGGACCTGAAATCGTAAACTACATCCTGTGCTGTTGCTGGGCTAGTTCTTTCTTGGAACTGATTTCCTCTAAACGTGCAGCTGCGTGGGAGCTGCTCGCACATACCTGCTTGGCTTTATGTAAAGGCCCTTGTCTACTCTCCACATGGCACAGAAGGGGCTTCAGACTGACCCAGCTGGACCTGCTTTGCCAGAGCATTAAAAGGCTTTCGATTTGAATTGAGACTGTGCCAAGTGTTTTTCCAGTGGACAGAATTATCCTTGAGATGGGGCAATGGAAGGAGCACCATTAGGGTTCTTTAGCCATCAAACCGTCCGATTCTTGGGTGGATCCTGAGAAGTGCCCGTGCCCTCTCCATGCTGCTTGACTTCCTGACAACCTAGAGCACAGGGGATGTTTTTTCTCACTCTTTTACATCTTCCTATGGCTATGCCTTTCCAGTCACAAGGGATCCCCGCATGAGTAAATCCCGACAGGAGCAGGTTGCAGGACACAGGCATGGATGTAAGACCAACCTTCATAAACTGCAGAGCCCTTCACCTTTTGGCATGGCTGCAGAGACCTTTCTGTAGAGAGCAGAGAGCAGCAGCTGCCTCCTTTTGTCCCATCGTCCTGATGTGCTAATCCTGATTTCTGATCACCTGTCACAGTTTCTGTGTTCTGAAAGGCGCTACCTGATGCATAACCTCCTGACTGATGCGCAAGGCAAAATAATAGATACAGTTCTCTTTCAAGCTGCAGGCCAAAACTTAACTGGAGTCAAACCAGTTACACCAGGCAGCTGAGGGAGGTCATCAGGTTCTTTCCTGCCATCGCAGGCATCATAAAGTCCCATATTGTAAATTTTCTAAGCTCTGTTTGAGAGGCAGTCGGATTGTTAGCCTGCACGACTCTTGTTGGAAAGCTGTTACAGTTGCTCTCAATGGTTAGGAGCCTTATTCTAATTTCCAGTAAAATGTGTTCTTTGACTGTCTAAACCGCCTTGCTCTCATGCCAAAGTTGGCACTTAGCTTAACAGTTTTTCCCCTCCTGGGGATATGTTCTTCGACCTATTAGAGACAGCGCTTCTATTCCCTTTCAGCTTTTGTTTTCCTAGGTGCCACAGGCCAAGTTCTTTGTCTCCTGCCATAAGGTAAACTTTCTGTTCCTCCTGCAACCGTAGTAGCTTTTCTTTGTGCCTGTTCTAGTTTGATTTCATCTCCCTTCCTGTGAAGCGACCTAGATTTGTATCCCAAATTCCCACTCTAGGCTCACTAAACCCTTCTCTTTCTACCCTATGCTATACAGTCTTCTACATACATGGTATTCGTTTTGAACATGTGTATGACACATGTCATGGTAGGAGGCCGAGGTCCCCAAACTATAGGTTTATAGGACAACAATTAAAAAGCTGCTATATAAGCAGTGACCACTGAAGTCCCCAGTAACGCTGAAAGATGTAGTGAATACGGCAGCATTAAAACCTCCTACAAGTCCGAAGTGACAATGTTACATTGTTTTGAAAGCTTGCTTTTTGAAATAGATTAATAAATGTCCTAAATCGTGAGACGTAGAGCCAGTCAAATGCCTGCTGTTACTGTTTTGTTCTGTAGCACTCAGTGCCTCTTTTTCTAAATTGTCTGTATAGACCGAAGGAGTTCGGATAGGGACCAGGAGCAAAGCCTTGCTGCACTAAACCCAGTGGCAAAACAACCAGTTGCCCTCAGTGTATGGGGATCTCACCCCGTGTTTGAGTGGTGCTCAGCATAGAGGGTTTTGGTCCTCGTCAGGCACCACACTGTATTTGAAGGGAAATTCATCAGTCTTCTGCTTTACCCTTCTCATATAGACCAGGCTTATACATAGGGAGGGAACGAGCTTGTTTCCAGACGGAGCGGTCAACGTAGTTTCTTTCTCTACTGCCTTGTAGAACATGATCTTAAATTATTTAGAATATAAATTCTAGCTGTGACGTTATTCTTCTCTACGGTCTTGGTGGTCTGTTTACACATGTTGAAGTAAGTGTGGAATGAAACAAGCAAAGCGAGCCAATCCTACAGAGGCTTTTCCGATGCAAAAATATTCACCTTGTAGAATACCCAGTGACCATTTATAGAACTGTGACATACGCAGTTGGGTTAGTCTGCTGGCCTGTGAAGCCTCTAATTCAATTTTTTAGTCACACATACATAAACAAAGGTTTCTGTTTCCGAGATCCTCATCTGTTGAAGTCTCAGGTGTTACAGGAAATTGCCATACACTCTCTTGATTCAGTTTTCTTGCTTTGATGTCAATCTGCATGTAAAATAAGGTGGAATCTTAATATCATGAAGACATGAATACAGTTCTTGGGCTTGACAGCAGGGATAAGCTAGTTAGCTGGTGTATGTTGCTCATGTTTCATATTTTAGCTAACACACTTGGAATAAAACTCCTACGAGTGTATTCCCTCTTCGATGCACATGTGTAATTCTTTCTAACTTAACACTGAAAGTACATGGTAGAATAAACCATCTAGTGCAAACACTGCATACCCCATGTTGATGGCTTATGCAGCTCCTGGTTATTTGCACAAGGTTTTTTTTTACTATGTTCCACGTAGAGATGATGTGGGGAGACAGAAAAGCACATGTTCTCCCTTTGAGTTTTTCACCTGACACAAAATACTCTAGTCATAAAAATACCGTGGGGATGCCCTCTTTTGGACAGTAATTTTGTTTCACGCTGTGATTTATTGTGGCTGTGAAAGTACCACGGCACCTATAAGTAAATTTAAATACATATTTTCAAGATCTTATTACAGAGAGCAAGAATAATCTCTTACCTGCTTTTACTGCTAACAGTTGCTAATTCAAACCTTGCAGTGCCCCATTTGTTGAATTATTACTGTACACATAGTGTAATCATACATTGTTGTAAAAGGGGGAACCCTTCATAAAAGCTGTCAACTTGTGAAGTATATGTAATATGTATTACAATCATGATGTTAAATACATGAAACAAACAGCTGAGTGTCAAAATAATCTATCTTTACAGGGAAACACAGTACAAACTTTGTTAGCCGATACGATCCCAGGTTTAACAGCTGGATACAACTTCCACCCATGCAAGAGAGGTAAAAACCTACTACTACGTGTTGTTCAATATTTGTTTTATCATCCTAGGAGCAGCTGACGTTTGTCTTAGTTCTTGGAGTAAGGAGGCCTACAGAAGCATTAAAAATACTGGGATAAAACTGCAGCGTGCAGTTGCATCCCGTTTGCATCCTAATTTTTTAAAACTTTCCAAATTCAAAACTCCAGATGCCAAATCCTGCAGTGCTAACTCACGCAAAATAACCATGGACTTTGTGCAGTTACCAGTTACCAAGTAGGGTCTGAAGGATTTTTCTGAGATCTTCACGGTGTCACTGCCACGTTCCCTCACTGAAGCGTCGTGACGAGTTTGCAGTAAATAAGCAGTATAGTCAGATATCGTAGAGGGAACCGCAGCCTTCACGTGCTGACCCCCTCCTGTTTCACCACGCCAGCCGTGAAGACCTCTCCTCAACATGACTCACCTTGTCAGACTCTTAATCCTAGGTGGCCTTTGAGTGAAGTTGCTGTCAGCAAATGCGTATTAGGGTAGTATACATTTTAATTTTAGCTGTGTCCCAAAGAGCAGAGGGGCATATAGACTTGAGCAGTGACGGGTAAAGATGACATAAATTTAACTCTAGATCCCAGATCCTACCTTGGTAGATAAAACATCCCCTAAACCTGAGCTGAATGATGCATGTTTCCTAGGAGGACTCTAGTAGGCAGAAGATCTAGCATACAATGTTGTTTTATGAAAGAGCATTCAGTGCCCATCCTTCAAGTTCAGCACCCATCTTCTCATGGATCTAATACACAAGGGATCTCACAGCACTTCCCTTATTCCATGTGCTGTCAGTATTAAATCTCATTTTCTATTGACTGCCCCCAGTGTTCAGGTGTCTAGCAGTCATAAATATATTGAACTCAGTGCAACCTTGCAATTCAAGGTGCGTATTATGAGAAGCAGGGAAGTACAGCTGTCCTTCCAAGTTTTCAGAGGTAAGATGTCAGCCTGTGGAGTTTTTGAAGGGCTTTTGTTCAGGATTCAGTCTGGTTGACCTGAGTCCATACACAGATCTGTGTGGAATGCTTGTCACCAAAAAAATACTGCATTGTACCACTGCATGAAAAAGCACAAGTGGAATAGGTCTGAGGAGGTTCTCTGTTGGAGCTGAGTGAACTGGTGAAATGGCCATGTAAATAGAAATAAGAAAAGGATCTCAAGAGAGAAGCTGGCTTCTCCCTCCCTCCTGCCAGCACTGTGGGGTGACCCCACAACTGGGTTATATAGCTGAAAACAGAGATGCCTTCCTCTCTGGTTCGGCTCCCCGGGCTGAGTCACCACGGGCTCAGACGTTGGCACGGGGAGAGAGAAGGTGTGCGTGAGATTGTGCATCGCCATGCAGGTCATCCTCAGTGACCCGGGAGGCTGGCTGGTCTTTGTACGGAGCCTGAAGCTTTTCGGTGCAGCCTAATCTGTGTCATAATTAGGCCCTCTGGGTATCTGCAAGCAAAACTCTGGAGGGGCGTGTGCGGCTGGCTGAACGGTTGGGTTTGTTTGGCTGGCAAACCTCAGAAGGCAGAAGCAGGTAGTTGAGGGTTGGAAAAAGCAGACAGTAGGAGGTCTTTTTCCACCTCCACAATGGCCAGTTTCACTGGAAAATCGGTTTCAAATATCGCAGATGCTGACTATGTATGCCTTGCCTTGTGCTCTGGTGGAAGCTGCTGCCTTCAGCCAAGGGGTAGAAACTCTGCTGCACACTGTGATTGCTTAGCAGCTGCCCGGTAATAAACTGTAATGCCTTGGCGTCACGGTGTTTCACAGTCTTGCTGAAATGTAATGGTCCACTCATACGTACTTCCTTCTGCAAGGGGCTTTACTGTGACAACGTTAATTGTCACCTCTTCTGTTCAGGATCCATAACTCATAGGCATGCCCATTATTTTTCTATAAAGGCTCCTGAGCACTGGGGCTGTTGTTGGAAAAGAGCGATTTTCAAATGACTTTCTAAAATGTTTTTAATGGTTTATTTGCTCATCCCTAATGACTTCCTCAGAGTTGTTGCAGCCTTTAGAGGTAGAATCTGGCCCATATTTTAGAAGACCATACGAAAAAGAGAGGGCTTTTATGCAGTCTCCATTCCCGGCTCCTTTATTCAGAAAAATTTCCCTTAAAGTCAACTGGCTATTCCCCCCCACCCCCTCCAGGGAGTACAGGGTCACAGCCTGTCTCTGCTGGCATAACACTGACACCATTGACAAGACAGACTGTTTAATGGGTTCTTCTGAGCTATTATGGTCCATCAAGTCAAAACCTAGTTAGGAATTTTAGTCTGAGAATAATTGGCTGGATAGATTAGAATAGCTCCTTTGAAATGCCTGCCAGGTAAATGTGGGTCTCGTTCACAGACAGTATATTCTCAAGTTGAAAATCTGTATGAAATATTTGATGAGTAAACTTTTATCTCATAGACTAAAATCCATATCTGATTGATTTTACTGTATGAGCTATAAAGAAAAGTCTAATCCCGTTATGGATTCAGAGCCGCCAGTGTGTTTTCTTTAAAGCCAAGTTGGGTTTCTTTTCATTTGAAGAACATCTCCAAAATACATGCTTTTGAAAAGTATGCACGGTTTTCAGGCGTGTGTTGTTTAGAGAAGCAGTAAATGACTCATTGGCTTTTGCTCAGACAAGGTTTACAAGACAGTTATATGTCTCGTTTCAGGGCATAAATTCATCATCTGTGGAAGTCAGAAAGAAATTTCATCCCTTTGTGTGGGTACTTAACGACAAGATGTTACTTGGGCTAATTATTGAGTGAAGGGTTGTGAAGGAAAAGCAGTTCAGAGACCACTGAATGTCATGTACTTGCAATCCTGATGAAAACCACTAAATAATTGCCTTATGGTCCATATTCAGATCCTGAGGTGGATTCCACTTGTCTCATTAGAATGGGTAGTCTCTTCCCAGTTTTGTGGGAGAAGTTGTCATGCAAAGATTGCTGTATTGTATTTTAATCTGAATCAGATTTTGCAGCAGGTTAAGAACTCATCACTTAACTGCGTGCCCTTCGCACACTGTATCACTGTAAAGTAGAAAAACAAAAAGCTTAAAATCCTTGTGCCACGAGCTACGGAGTGAATATTCGCATCCAAGCAGAAGAGTGAAGCGTGCTGACGCTTTCATTTTTGCTCCTTATAGTGACACTGTGTGGATGAAACCAGGAGTACACATACAGAATAGTGTAGAGGAAATCCTAGATAAAATAGTAATGCCTGCCAGCTGCACCTACCTCTGTTTATTAAACCTGAACTAAAAAAAACACCCCCGCTGATAGCAGTTCGTTAACAGGTTCATCAGAGGAGGTGCAGGAGGACACACAAGCAGACACGTGAGCACCCCAAGCACTGACACCAGGTACCTGCGGGTTTGTGCCTTCCCACTGCCGGACACGGGAGGGTCAGAGAACGTGTGCCCGGCTGTGCGGGCTCTCTGACGTCTAACAGGATGTGACCTCTGCAGCTTTTCCTGGGTTTGGGGCCACTACAGGCTGTTGTGCCTGTGGCCTGCCGCATGCTCTCAGGAAGCATATAGTGACTTGATTGCCTCTAACATCTATACCCTGCGTCAGATTGGAGTGAAATCAGCCAGCAGGTTTTTGTTGAGGAGACAACACTCAGACAGACATGGGTACATGTACGGTGTAATCAAATAAGCTTTGTTTCCATAGAAAATCAGGCTAAAAACATAGATGCACGATTTGCTGCCCGACCATGCAGAGCAACATATGCCATCAGCTTCTATCTGCCCATTGACAGATAAATTAAATGGTCTTATTTAATTCGTCAGCTGAGCTGGAGGCACTTAGCAGCATTTCTGTCCTTCTGTTTGCATCTTTTTGTCTGGTAGCCATATCCCTGCGCCAGTGTTCCTGCTCAACAAGGATGCTGTCCCTCACCATCCAAGCTGCCCGTGTGCAGGCAAGGTGAAAGCCAAGAGGTGGACAGGAGGTGCTCGGTGACACAGCTCCTCCCCAGCCAGGGTGAGAAGCCCTCTCAGGTGTGCACCAAAGCCAAAAAAGTAAGGCCAGAAATGGGCAGCATTGCGTCAGCTCTGCTCCCTGAACGCCTGGCCAGCCCATGTCTGCCTGACCTCTTCTCCAGCTTACAAACCACCAGCCAGTCTCAGCCACATTAAACAAAGAGGGAAATTTCTCCACAGTGTTCAAGTATGTTACAGATCTTGTGAAAATTATAAGCTGGGTAGAGGAGAGAGATCTTAGATGTGGCTTCACTGAAGGAAACGCTTGCAGACGTGTGCCTGGCGAGATAGCAGGTCAGAGACACGGCACGCCAGGCTTTTCTAGCTCATGGGATGACCCTAGGGAAGCCTGGAGAAGAGTTGGGACATACCAGAGATGTTAATTGCAGGGTGCTGTGCCCTGTACGTGGACCACCGCTCCTCCTGAATGCCTTGCCGCAGTCTGCAGTTTCGAGCCCTTGATGGTGCAGGTGACCATCCAGCCCCCGAGACTTCCCGTGCGGTTCAGGAGTGCAATGGGCAGCTGCTCCCAGATGCAAATTTGGGTGCCTGGGCAGGAACTGGAGAGCATTGTGTCAGCCACGGAGCAGGGTTTGGCAAGCAGCAGCCACTCTCCGGCGCGCCTGTTGTGCGGGAGGTGTCAGAGCTAGGCCTTGCCGCGCCTGACTGCCTGCTTGGCTCTGGGCTCGCACGCCACTCTGGTTTCACCCAGGAGAAAATTTGGGAATGACAATTCTTGTCATTCAGCATTTGGTACAGGTCTTCATCCTACCCTCGCTAGAGACCCTGTTTGGTGTAATCCCACGATCAGGGTCTCTCAGGATCGTCCACTGCTTTATTCAGCAACAGACACTGTTAATTGTGGAGGCACAAGGAAGATGCACTATCATACGCCTAACAGTCCCAACCAGAAGGATTAATTCCTTTCCTGCATATCCAAGTGGCGTGGGAAGGCGGACAGGTGGATAAAACTTCTCTCAGAGTTAGCTGGATGGATACAGACCTCTTTTGCCTTAAAGGGCAGAAATGTAACATTGTGCCTGGCGTAAGGAAAGTTGTTCTATTTGCAGTACTGCAGAAAGAAGAAAAAAATGATAATTGAAGAAAAATTTTGATGATGTGGTTCTCTAGTAAATTGGGAACAATGACCCTTGAAGGACCATAAAGAAAGTGAATGTCAAGATAATTTATTATTGTTACATTATCTACCTCATTTTTCACTTTGTCTTACTGAGTTGTTAGATCCCTTACAAGGTAATGCCCCAAACATTAATGAGCACCTTTTTATCTCTCACAGGTGTGAAATAGCAACAGACAGATTTGAAAAGGGGTATTTTCTACCAGTTTTGTGTGTGCTTAATTGTTTCTACACCCAAAAATTTAAGTATTCATTTGATGTGGAGCGTGTATTTGATTAGCAAAGCAGCCACAGTGTCTAGGATAGCTGTAAGTGTGTGAAGCTCCCGGACACTTCACTCTGAAGTAGCGTTTGAAGGAGCTGCTCTCTTAGTTCAGGGAGTCAGCGGGAGAGGGAAAAACCATGGTTGACGTGGCTAATTGGTTTGTTGTCGGCTTGTTTTGTTTTGTTCTGCCCTGTCCTCCAGGAGAGCCAGTTTCTACGCCTGTCGCCTTGACAAGAACTTGTATGTAATCGGTGGGAGAAACGAAACTGGCTACTTGTCCAGCGTGGAGTGCTACAATCTGGAGACAAACGAGTGGCGTTACGTGTCTTCCTTACCGCAACCTTTGGCAGCCCACGCAGGAGCTGTTCACAATGGCAAGATATATATTTCAGGCCGGTATCTTTTACAATTCCTGC